CCCCCTAGCAGCAGCAACAGCAGCTTCCTGGGGTCCCACAGCTGCTGCTGCTGCTGCACCTTGGGGGGCCCCCCAGGCTTGGGCTTCAATGAGGGCTCCTTGGGGGGCCCCCAGGGGGCCCCCCTCTGGGGGGCCCCCCATGTTGCTGCTGCTGCTGCTGCTGGAGGCCGTTTTGCAGCAGCAGAACTGCTAATTAGTTGGCCGCTAAATAACTTGACAGAAATAAAGACTGCAGCAGCAGCAACAACAAACACTCCTGCTGCTGCTGCTGCTGCTGCTGCCACAGGCTAGCCCTGATCGTGGGGGCCCCTGGGACTCTAGGAGAAGCTGCAGCAGCAGTGTGAGGGTTTAGCGCCGACTTTTTAGGGTTTACACTCAAGGGTTTAGGGTTTAGGGTTTAGGGCTCAGGGTTTAGGGTTTAGGGTTTAGTGTTTGGCCGAGCCTTCCGTGTGGGCTCGGGGGCCCCCAAGTCCTCGGAGGCCCCATGGGGCCCTTCACTAGTTTGTCGTTTGCTGCTGCAGCAAATCGCATGCTGCGGCTGCAGCAGCTAGCGGCATCGCGTTGCAGCAGCAGCAGCAGCAGCAAATGTAGCGGCAAGGTCGTGGCAGCAGACAAGCCCGACAGGAGGAGGAGGCAGGCTGCGGCAGCAGTTGCAGCGGCGAGAGGCAGCCGCAGCAGCAGCAGTTGCTGCTGCTGCTGCTGCGTCACACATCACTTCCTGCAGTCTTACCTGCAGCAGCCGCACTGTGCTGCGGCAGTAGCAGCAGCAGCAACAGCAGCAGGAGCAGCAACGGTCACATCTGCAGCAGCAGCAGCAAACAGGATCCGCCCCTTGCTGCAGCAGCATCCGCAGCAACAGCAGCAGCAGCAGCAAACACTGGAGCAAGATGTCGCATCGTCACACAGAACTTCCTCTCTAGATCCCTGGAGCAGCAACACTGGCAGCAGCAACAGCAGCAGCAGCAGCAGTAGCAGCATTCCTGCTGTTACTGCTGATGCTGCTGCCGCTGGCCCTAGCCCAAATAGCAGTAACAGCACCATCACTAGCAGCAACAGCAGGAGCAGGAGCAGCAGCAGCAGCAGCAGCAGCGGGTTTGATGACATTTTATCTTTTCCTTTGGTGCTGCCGCAAGGTGTATATACAGCGCGTTCTGCTGCTGCGATTGCTGCAGCGCTGACAGCTGAGCTGGCGGCGCTGCTGCAGCAGCAGCAGCCTGCTGCTGCTGCCCATGTGCAGGCGTTGCCGACGTTTTTGCTGCAGCTGCAGCAGGTGCTGCAGCAGCAGCAGCTGCTGCGGGGTGTGTCTGTGGCTGCGTTTGGCTCTTGCGTTTCGGGTTTGTGGACAGCAGCAGCAGACGTGGACG